TAGACTAGATCTAGATCTAGATGTAGATTTAGATCTAGATCTAGATCTAATATCTAGATGTAGATCTAGATCTAGATATAGAATCTAAATCTAGATCTAGATCTAGATTCTAGATCTAGATCTAGATCTAATCTTCTAGATAATGTAGGCCTACCTGTTCAATATAAGATTTTCAAAAACAATTGCGAGTCGAATTGATGAGTTACAGTTTCACTTGATGACACCTACAGTTCTTCTCGCTGAACATTCGTAGAAATCATACAGACTCATCCCTTGTTTCAGCTGGTGCCAACAACGACACAAAATAGCTCCAGCTCACTCTTCTGTCCCCTTTGAACTCCACCTCGGCAACCCTCAACTCATACCTCGGTGTCACAGTTTAGTTTACATTAGGAACCAATTTTGTTGGTGTGGATGTCTCTTTGATTATTTTTTGTTGTTGTTTTTGCTTTTTTTTCGAGAAAGAAAATAGTACTTTGATATATTTTAAAACTGTATCATATACCATAAAAAGCTGGTAACGAAAATTGCAACGTTTTTATTTTTCTTAAATATTAACCTTTTTTTTCTTGTATGGTATTTAGAATCTAGATCTCATTCTTGACCAACAATCCTAATATATCACGTGACCCCCATTGTTGCAAAATGGCTGCGCCCTACCAGCTGTACACCTTTTCTGAGCTCAATGAACCTGCATTTTGCAAAGTTGTTCAAACTTTTGATTCCTATTCATTTGGTAAGTTCTTGTTGATGTGTAAAAGTAAAATAGTGAATTGACAATTATTGTGTTGTGCCATATTCGCTGAATTTGAAGGCCAGAAGGCCTATTTCAAGGTTATGAAGACTCCTAGATCTAGATCTAGATCTAGATCTAGAGAAGTTGTACCACTAGACTAGTAGTAGATTATCTAGTAGTAGAAGTTCTAGATTCTTGATCTAGAATCTAGATTCTAGATCTAGAACTAGATCCAGTTCCAGATTAGTAGATCTAGAAGACGAGGTTACAAAATCATCGAAGACGAGGCCCTCTAAGTGACTCATTGTTGTGCTGTACTCCTGTGCTGTACACAAACACATACTATGATGATGAATACTATACTAGATGCGGCATACAGTACAGGCAATCTCTGGTTTTGGCCCCAAGACCAAGAGTTATGAAATAGACGTAGTAACTTTTGGATAAAGATTGCACTCCTTTGCAATTGCAGACAGTCCTGTTTCATTTGTTTACATGACGGCCATTGTGGAAGTGAATCGATCTAGATCTAGATTAGATCTAGATCTAATGTCTTGTCTAGATCTAGATCTTGAATCTAGATTCTCAGATGCAAGTGGCTGTTCTCCGACAATCGCGCCGGTCAATAGATTGGAAGCTATTCTCCGGCGTCACGCCGCCGGTCTGTTACTTATGAATTACAATGTATTTGTCGGTGCAGATTTTGAGATACAATAACTAGATCTTTTTTTGTTTTTGTAAAGTGTTTTACGGCGCTCGCAACTGCATAGGTCATATGAGCGCGCGGGACACACCTAATATTTTCAGTTGGTAGGAAATTTTGAATTGCCCGAGTGGCGGCCGAAGCCTACTCTTATCGATTTTAGACCACCAAGGGATCTTTAACGTGCGCAACTTGCACACGGGCCCTCCGAGATTTTTCGCCCTTGTCCGAGAAGGCTAGGTGTAGATCTTTCCTACCAGAAGATCAGGGGTGTGGCAGAAAGACAGCAGTAAGGAGGGGCCAAGGAGTAGCAGTAGAAAGGCTGCAGAAAGAATCAGGAGCCCAGAGGAGGGGGCAAAGGAGGTGAGGGGGTGGGGGCAGAAAGTGGAAATGAAAGCAGACAGCAGACATTGCAAGAGAGCAGGAAAGGAGGTGAAAGGAGACAATTTTTTAGAAGAAAATGTTTTGGTCGCTACCCGGATTTGAACCCGGGACCTTTGAATGAGAGGCCAACACCTTAACCTCTAGGCCACGAGAGCCCCCTTAACTAGATCTCTAGGCCTAGTAAGCCTACCTTTCATTATATTTTATTTATGATAATATTAATTGTCTAATGTAACTTTAGCCTATTCATTTATTTGGGTCGTCATTAAAATGATGATTCTGTTTCTTTAAACGTACAAAATTGATTTTGTGTCTAAAATCCTGTCTAGGAATAGTATAGCTTGCTGTTTAACTTTTCTCTTGTTGTTATAATTTTCGATAAATTTAACTATTTCGCGACCAGTGTTTTCTTGTCGTATCTCCGTTTTTGTAAACTGTGAAAATGTAACTTCTTCTTCTAAAATTCTAAATTGGAGGTGTTGAAGCAGTTTGTGTCTGAAAATGTATCGTTGGTATCAATGGAAGTGGCACAAAGTGGTGAAGTTATGGGAATTTTTTCCCAAGACAAATACATTGTAATTCATAAGTAATAGACCAGCGGCGTGACGCCGGAGAATAGCTTCCGATCTATTGACCGGCGCGACGCCGGAGAATAGCCACTTGCTTCTCAGATAGCTTAGATAATCTATCTCTAGATGAAGATATATATCTAGATTCTAGATCTAGATTGGATATAATTTTAATTCAGTTTAGATCTAAAAAGAAACTCCCTATACAGAGGCACTTCTTAGAGTACTAGTGCAAACGGGACCGCAATTGTTATTGTACAGGAGTGCCGTTTATAGGGGTAAAATATAGTACTGCAGAATTGTAGCATAGTAGGATTAGAACAGTAATAGTTGGGGCCAAAACCGGATTGGCCAGCTTTATTCGGACTTGAGTCCGATTAGATTTTTTATCTATTCGGACTCGGAGTCCGAATATATGGGTTTTACCTTGGCTGTCGTTATTCTCACCCAGGGTGAAAATAAAAATATAATTTTATTTTCCCGTAATTTAGAATAATATCCATTTTATTCTCACCCGCGATGAGAATAAAATGACTCACCCGGTCTGAGAATGCAATGGACTTTTAGGCCTACCTTGGTGTTGGGAAAAGATGATAGAAAATTATTTGTGAATTGTAAGAGAGTGACCGTTCATGACCTGCCCCAGAGCGCTGGCCGATTTTTAAAGGCTCCCGCGGGGATTGTTATTGTTTCATTTTTTTAAATCTTGAGTTGAGAGTATGCACGCATACCTTCACCAAAACCCTTGACAAGTGTAAATATATCCTCAATTCAGAAAGGAATTCACTTGCCAGAGTAGTATGTTTTTTTAAATAGTAGCCTTAACTGAAAGCTGTTTAATGAAATAATGTTAGTAATAGTTTGTCATTGTAATGTTAGAATTGGCATTAATTTGTTTACGACACAAAAAAACATGTTTAATTGTTATCCCTAGCAGAACCCACGATTATTTTTAAGGAACGCAGTTCCTTGACCCTAGGCGAATTTTTTTCTTAATTTTGATTGGTTAAACCATTCAAGAGTAAAATATTCCATTACAGAACCAATAAATCAATACTGTTGCCAGTAGCAACAAAAGGTGACGCTATTTGGTCAAAAGATAAGGTTTTCCCCCAAATCAACAATAGGTGCCTCCCGCGCTCGAGAGCTGGCCCGCCCGTTGGCGATTTTAGTCGCCTCGCGCGCTCAGCGGAGTGAGAAAGGGAGGCGAGTTTTGTCGCCTGGAGCGCTCAGTGACAGGGGTTGTATAATGCCCGAAACAAAAAAAACGGGTGAGAATAGTAGGCTGTCGTTATTCATAGTATCAATTTTATTCTCACCAGGTGAGAATAATATCCAGTTTATCCTAACCCTGGGTGAGAATAATCACTCCGTTTACCTATTAGGACTCATTAGGTCGGGAAAAAAATGTTTGATTTATTCGGACTCAGCTTCTAAGTGAGTTATGTAGTGTAAGGAGGTTACATAATAGTATAACTGTCATCGGGGGATTTTACGTAAAACCAGAATTAGAACTGGAATTACCTTCTAGGACTGTGTAATTGTCTCTAAAGACTGCACTCTCATTACCAAACGGCAGTGTCTACGTACACTCGGGGTCTTCCCACCACCACTACAGCATCATCATTACTTCCACCACCATTTGTCTTTTCACATGTTTAATTTCATTTTGTTGTGTGTTATAGTTTTTCTATAATTATTCATTTTTAAATCACATCGCACAAAAACACAAAATCGACTGCCGTGGCCTCTTCTCCAACACCTCTTCCCCCAGCAAGCCGAGAGGGCGTGATAGCTACGCGCAATCTCATTGGTCGACATGATTAACTTTGCCACCGGCAAGATCAACTCAACTTATTGGTTGTTCTGTTCATACTAATGATGCAGGGAGGGCCAGTTTAGATGGATCTACTCTAGTAACTGAATATTAAAGCTCACGTCTTGATTGTTATCATTATAATTTTTTTTAATGTTAATAAATGCTGGTAATATTTTTAGGAACAAGGGTTGAAAGTCGGGACGAATGCATGCTGGACTCAATTCAGAGTCTAAATAGTCACTTCAAAGAATAGGATTGTCCCCACAGACCTGCCACTTGAGTAGTACGTTGTGACTGTGGCCGTAGCACAATGTCTAATTTTTTTCTTGAATTCCATTTCCATTGGCCTTGCGCTTTCTGTCGTAAATGACTTGAGAATACACGTTTTTATTTGTCAGTTAAATGTTTTACAAATTTTGGGGTTTTTTTTTACCCGCCTCAGCTATGATCAGTCGCTTGGTTTTTTTCCCTCAACCGAGAAGCGTTTCGGTTTCATTTTGGAATTCTGTCTCCTTTTGCAGAGTCCATGGTTTCATAAACTCAGATATTATCCCTTTGTAGATCTACCATTTTATCAGAGGAGGGACTCAATGCAAGTATGCACTAATTACTTTTGCAGTCATTGTGGGATTTACTTTTTATTGTTTTCCTTCAAAATTACATTTTCTTTTTACTTTAAAATAGAGAAGTAAAAATCTGAACCTTGAGGGGTTTTTTCCCTTTAAATTCTGACTTGCAAATTGCTTTAGGCAGGCTAAACTTTAGGACTTTAGGTGGATTCGCTGCAAGTATAGATCTAGTTGATGATTAAGCTCTGTTAAAAAAAAAAAAAAAGCACTGCTATCATTGTGCATTAGGCCTATAATTTTTGTGGTTTTGAAGAAATGTGTTTGTACAAGTGGTGAGAAGTAAATTTTGTTGATCTTCTTTTCCAGACAAATTGGCAGGCATTCAGAAAGTTTTTGAAAGTTTACTGAAAAGTAAGGACCAGCTTTCTAGACTTCATTCAGAAGGGAAACTGCTACGCATATTCATCTTCAAGAAGACAGGACAACTGCGAAAAGAAAAATCATTGCAGCTTTTGAAAAGGGTATATCAAACTTTATGCATTTAACACTTTGCCATCATATTTGGGGGAAAATCCAAAGAAACTGGGTGGTAAACATCGCCAATCAACGAGATGAAGCGGCAAGGTGTTAAGTTTGTGTTGTCATATGATTTTAAAGTTATCAATGGTTTGTTTTCTTTAACCACACTTTGTGGACTTCTTCTAGTAAGGTGTCACAGTGTGACTGAAAAACTTCACAATGTGATTTACCTATTGTAATGCACACATTGAGACTGTGACTTATATCTTTTTAATATGAAGGAGATCTATTGTGCCACATTAAAATTAAATTAAACAAACTGGCTTGTGTGATTCTTAATAACAGATTTAATTTTTTCTTCAGATCAAGACGTGTCTATCTCGTATTCCAGTCCTTGAAAAGATTTTGTGCCAAGCAGCCGATTTCAATGCTGATCTTAAGAGGTATTCATTCTCTTTTTTCAACACACAGCTCCATTACTAGTAATAAGCGTTAAAGAATATTTTATAGTATCATACTTCAAAGGTTTAATTGAACAATGATTATATGTCTGGTGAGGAAAGCAGCGTGTCGCCTAGCTATTCAAATGTATTAAGCCCCAATTATTTTTTTATTTTTTTTTGGGGGGGGGGGGTTCTTAACTCTTTATCTCCGTGGGGAGGTAAACCCACTTTGCCGGGGCCCTTTTTTGGTACTAAATCTAAAAACAACGAAAACATCACTAAATCAAAACAAGTGAAATTATTTTGATAGTTCTTCTTCTAATGAATGAAATCACAATAAAAGAGACCTGTTTTCGGCAATTGCTAAAAAGTAATTTGATGTCGAAGTAAATACAATTTATAAAAGAATGAAACAGTGTATTTTTCTCTGTCCTGAAAAAATGTTGCTTTGTGGGCTCCGTATGTCTGAACAGCTGGCCAACGAAATGTATTTTAAAGCAAAACAACTTATAGACATACAGTTGTTTGGACCCTGATTGAATCCAGTCTCTCCCTATGGCAGTGGTGGGAAGAAAGAATGCACTTTGTTCTAATGAAATATTTCTTCAAAAGGGTAAGCTGTCTCATTTTTAAGGTGGGTAGTTGGTGGGTGCTGTGGTTTGTTCCTTCTTTTCTATTAAACATCTATCATCCTTATCTCCCCTCCTTTTTTGTGTTTGTTACTCTCTTGTAACACCTCTTATCTTCGGCACTTATATGACCTTATTGTGTTGCAAGTGCTATAACACTCTTACAAAAAGTACTGTCATTTGTAAGTATATTGGACGTTTAACAGTCCTTTATGTGAAACCTCAGAACGTATGCCTTCACCATAATGAGCTTTATATTGTTAATGTACTTGTCTTGGAGTACCTTTGAGTCTATCAATTGAAATATTAGTGTAAAGACTGCAGCTGCTTATTACAGCAGATGTTTGATTACTGACTGGCTCTATGTATTTCAGAGTTATTGTGATATCTTTTTTCTTCCTTTTTTTTTTTTAACTGGAAAAAAGGGGGTCGATGAATGGTATGGCTTCCACAGATGTGAAACCAGCGTGTCTGACCCTGACACCTGCCAAATGTTCTGATTTAATCACATCCTCCAATTTTTTATTCTTTTTTTTTTGTTTTGTTTCGGGGTTTTTTGCTTGTTCAAGAACCTCAATTGGATTTGCATAAAATCTGGTCTTTTTCTTGAATTGAATTCCATTTCCATCAGTTGTACACAACTATTACAAATAATGTGGAAATATACTGGTTCATTTGCAGTATTGGCATGGCTTTTATTATAAATGACACGAAAATACCTGTTTTTCCTTTGTGTGTATTTACTGTACTAGTTTATTTGCTACTTTTAGTTTGTTACATCATCTTAATTTATTGGCATTATAGAGACTTCGATTTTTACCCCCAAACTCCAGTATAGAGAGTGTTTTTAGGAAAACTCCATTTTTTAGTCATGGAGTGATTGGCGGGTTTACTGAACATAGGAAAATACGTGTTTTATGCAGTGTAAGGGACCTTAAGGTGAAACCTTGAAATCCATACAGCTATGTACAAAGTGAGTCCATCTATAACTTTGAGGGGCCAGGTTCCTTGGGTTTCCTTTTATCTTCAGTAAGGTTTGTTTCATTCATGTGAAGGGAAATTTGTGAACATTAATTTTTTAATATAATTTTATCTAAAGTTTTTTACTTTCACTTTCAGGGACTTTTATTAGATATGAGTTTATTGTTTTATTATAACTATTTCCATACTCCACTGAAAATTGTACTTCAATTATGTCAACTGACTGACTGTGAGTCTTTTCTTTCTTTCTTTCAAAAGCATATTGAAATCGGGGCACAGTAGTTCCTCTCACTATGTGACCTGCCAGCAGGCCTGGACCTACTTTTTGTTCCTGATCTTTCGAAGCACAGAACTTCTGGAGGCAACGATGAACTACTGTGGCGCTGCCTTTGAGTATCCTTTTTATTGGTTTTTGAAAGTCAAGAATACTATCATGCAAAATTCCCTAAAGTTCGGATAATTTCTGTCCCTGCTACAATCGTTGTTGTCCTAATCAGAAGCTCGCTGTTCCATGGACATTATGATAAATTATGAATAAAAGAAAAAGTTACAGAATATAGAAATCTACTTTGATTGATTCCTGACGAGAAATTTGTTCACATTGGCATGCATATAATATATACATAAATACCTACATATATAGTAATTTAACTGTACAATATTCTGATTAGCAAAGCCTCTATGCGTGTTGGGGTGCCAATATATGGGCCTTCTGTACGGCTTATCATGGAAACCCTCTTCATGCAGACAGTTGAAAATTAAAAGAGAAAAGATATAAAATGTTTGTGAAGTATAATTTTGGAAAGACTAGGTATCTTTCCTTAACACTGGTGTAAAAAAGCTGCCTACATAGGAGGCTGATCGAGTCAAAAATGTCTCTTTGGCATTTAGTTGACCAGTTGATCAATTGGGACCTTGACACTTTGTCTCCATGGGAGGCCAATCGGGGACGGTAAGAAGCCGTCCCTTTTCGTCCCTTTTCCCCGGCCTCGGGACGACAATCGGCGCCGGTGTGATATAGCGTGTACCGTACCTGTATCCTGGTCCGCGGGGATAAGTGTTGCGCACTCTGCGCACTGCGTGGGTGGAAAGTGTGAAGTCAGTCAGTCACTGAAAATCCTAATTAGAAGGCACTTTGACTATGACTGTAAAGCCAAGTCAAATACATACTTTAATTTGGTAAAAATGATCAACATTTCTGAAAGCCCTTAACTGTACACAGACATCTGAGCTGCCATCTAGCCACTGGAATGCTTATTCCTCAGATGTTGTTGTTCATGGCAGTCGTGGGTAGAATTTGGTAAGTACAAAGTTTGTACCAGCACAGGTATTCGGTGCTCATTTTAACTGAAAGGCTTATCAAACACGCACACACACACATTCTTCATACATTTTTGTGTTAAGAGAATGTTTCATTACTAAGGCCTATACTATAATATAAAACGAAGGAGATAATCGTTTGGTAGATCAGTGAAAATCACTTATGATTATGACAATGTAAAAATCTTCAACATGATGAGACTTCTGCGTAGGGCATATAATTATAATATCAAGAAGGCTAAGAAGCTGAAGAAATAATAGTGCTGTAATGGAGTGACTATATTTTCCGTGTTTCCTGTCATCAAAGACATTTGAATTTGAAGGAAAGCTGTAGACATAATATGGGAGGCATCATGGTGAAATCCTGGTCAAAATAATGAAATCGAAGAAATTGGCATTTTTCTGTCAGTTTGGCAATTTTTTATCGAATTTTTGTTTTTTTGACTCAACACCTTTAAGGTCCATTCAAAATCACATTTCTGTGTGTATTTCACACAAAAATATTGATTTACGGCTCAAAAATGTAAATTTGCAGTTTCTAAGGACTCTCAGTCTCAAGCGTTGGAAGTCGTCAGACTGTGGAGACCATTTTCTCGCTAATTTTACCTCTTAAACCAGGTGACCCCACCTCCTTCAATCACAAATATCTCGACTTCTATTCATGATGGAGGAGTATTTTTTTCACCAAAAGCAAGACAATTGAAGCAGCTGTAAATTGATACCATTAACTCCACACGTCCAAAAATTGACAAGCGCCTGATTCAACCACGTCATGACACATTGTAGACAAAATTTCTTTTTCAGCTTGGGAGTTTAATAGCTACTATAGGTAGTTCGTCTTTTGTTTTGAAATGGGTTTGTCTTAGTTGTTAATCTTTGCAACTTATTGTTTTCTTTCTCTTTATTGCTTTTGTGTCTCTCTCTGTTCCTTTTTCACTAAATTATTTTTTTTTAATGTGTCTCTGTGCTTTTCTTCACTCAGAGACTAAAACCCCCTCCCCTCTGCAACTCCTCTATTAGAGTATTATTCCTTACTTTTTAGCCATGTCCACCATGCCACTGTCATGTTTTATAAAGGAACTATACTTTTGTTAATTTTATATGGCCAATGTCAGATATAATGAGTAATTTTACTGGTTTTTAACAAATATTGTTTCCATGCTCATCAGGATGGTGTGCAGTACACTTGGAATGAAACTTAAAGGAGCTTATAATATGTTGATTTCTGCAAAAGAAATGATTGACAGGAGCCCCTCAGACTGGGTTTGTATTTCATTGCTCTTTTTCCACCTATATCTTTGAGTTTTGAGTATTCTATGACCTATAACTATAACTAGGACAAAAGTCTTTTATAGCTGAGAGCTGAGATTCATGTCTTCCAAGCTTTAGGAAAGCTTTTGGGTTGTGCGGTTTTAGATTTAAGGAATTTCACAATTCTTGAGAAATCTTGAGGAATCTCCAACTGACCTATATTAGTGAAAATATGATTCTGCTTGATAATAATAATGATAATTATAAGTATCACTTCTATACTACTGTGATCACATCATAAGGGACATGTCTGTGTCCATCCTTGGCATTACAGAACTGCTGATATCGTTTCAATGGAAGTTTTCAATTAAAAAGATGGCTCCAGTTTTCTTTTTTAAACACTGTCAGGAGTTTACTTGTAGTTGTAGCCAAGTGGCACTCTGATGTGGTTTGCTACTTCTTTCCTGTCAAACATCTATTGTTCTTATCTCTCTCTTTTTTTTAAATTTGTAACATTACTCTCTAGTAACACCTCTGGTCTTTAGCTCTTATATTATGACTTACTTGTGTTGCAAGTGCCATAAACATAAACTGATATCGGTACTGAAACTTAAAATTTAAAACTCAAAGACAAAGTCTGTGCCAAAAAAAAAAAAATATGGTTCCTCAGTTATTATATGTTTTGATGTAGGTCTGACAGAGAGGTAACAGAAGATGGTTTACAATAAACTCTCTTTGTTGACAAGTTGTGAGTCTTGTCACTGAATTGAAACAGTTTTTAAAAAATGGTCGAAATAAGCCCCTCCACACACACACACACACACACTGCTGTCCTTTCTTATATCAGTTTCAAGATTCTTCAATGGTCTTTTTGTATGCCATGATGTCTGGGTTTTGTCTTTCAGAAAGATCCTGAATTGCCACAGAAATTGAGTACTGAGGACAAAGAGTTCAGCGAGGTGCTTGAAAAAAGAAAAAGGCAAGTATTTGTGCATGTAGGGGGGGGGGGGGGGGGGGGGAGTCCTGAAAGTTTAGTCATCTTATGTTGTTGTTGTCATATAAAAATTCAATCTGATATGACAAGAGATTCTTTGCAGCACTGTAATAGTGTAATAGTCATTGTGCTTTGTATGATTCAGATTTTCTCATTTGTTTTGATCACATTTGTCAATGTCAGGGATGGAAATTTTACGTAAATTTATAAGGAATCTGTAATTTTGATTTGCTCCGTCTTTTTCCGTAAGTGAGACCTGTCTTTCAGTGATGAGTCATTGTACTACATATTATAATATTAATATGTCTAATCTACAATTGAATAGGTGTATTTTTCCAAATCTGTTTAGCCTGCGAAAAGTTCAGTAAATTTTGGACTGATCAGTTTCAATCCCTGCATTTGTAGCTCAAGGAATCTATTGAGACTGAACTCAAGGACCATGTTTTTGCCTCTTGTGCCTAAGTTAAGTACTGGGTACACTTGGATTTGTTCGTGCATGATCAGAGAATATCAAGAAATTTTGTGTCTGTTTTAACGATTTACTTTTCTGTCCCTTGACTTTATAACAGAGAGAATCAAGTTCCTAATCTTGTGGTATAAGTATAAGGAAACAGTCTCAAATCCATTATCTCAACAGGCTGTTCGCTGATCTAACTCAGTCAGGGCTTCCTCGTGAGGTGGAGGCCAGTTTGGATCATCTCCCCTGCCCTTCAGGGACCCATTTGTCATCACAGGATATGCCGTACTCCTCCGTGCAAGAGGAGGAGGACATAGGAGTAGGAGTGATGCAAGAGGAGGAGGACATAGGAGTTGGAGTGATGCAAGAGGAGGAGGACATAGGAGTAGGAGTGATGCAAGATGAAGGCCTAGGAGGTAAGTTAAAGTACAGGAAGAGACCTTTTCATAAAGGAAAAAAAATGTAGGTTTGTTACTATGACTATGAGTCTTGAAATTTTTATGAACCACCTTGTTCTTCTCTCAATGTACAATTTTGACTTTCATTCGATTTATGCTGTTTTTATATTTTTTATAAGGGCATGGAAAAACTGACTGAAACCAAAACCAGTCATTTTCACTGCTTTACTTAAATTTGAAAAGTTTATAACCAGAGTTTTTACCTTGCATTCACATCCAGTTGTGATTCTTTGTTTTGAGTGCCAGATTAGTTTTTCTTTTTTCTATGAGAGAATAGTGTATTTTAAAATTACTTACGAGACAAACAAATAAAATCAACAAACTGATCTCTGTATATTGGAAAATGAGCGTCTTAAATGTCAGGCTTATTGAGTCGTGTTATTTCCATATATTCTTTGCATTACATCTTAATGTGAAAAAGTCTTTTCAGCTCATTTAAGTGCCAAATATATACTTGAAATGATTTTAAAGTGAGTATACGATAAAGCTAGCTTTTTATCATAATTATGAATTTGGAGGACCAGCATCTTTGACGTGTTAGTTAGACTCTTCCCTTTTGCACAAAAAGGACCTGAATGACAATCCGATTCCCATTTTGGAAAGATATTTTAATGGGTAACTCCCATCCATCCACTAAGCTTGGTCCTACCAGAAATGAGCATTAAATTCAGAGATCCGGACTCTCCAATTCCAATAACATAATGATAGTGTTAAAGGAGATGTTGAACTAGTATAATCGAATAATTACCTTTTCTTTACCCGAATGTGTTGTATGTTCTTCTCGGCCTGGGTTGACTACTCCTCAATGATATTTATTGTTTTAATAGTAGGGTGTAAAACGTTTGCAGTCAATTACAAATATTTTCCGATTAGGTGTGTAAGGACCCCTGTCAATCTATGAAAAGCTTAGCACAGATAGACTGGAAGGATGTGACTCTGCAGTGGTTTCAGCAGGATTATAAGAAAAAGGGAAACATATTGCATTGTTTAGGAAATTGGGTAGTAAAAATACCGAAATAGTAACTTACAATAATAAGCAGTTTAGTGTGTTTTGTTTTAACATTTTCACCATTAGATATTAATATTTTTTTCCCACAGTTGTGCTCTGTTCAAAGAGGAAGCTGGATACTGACCGGAGCCTCAATAGTACCCACAAGAAGATGAGACTGGACATACAGCAAGCTGCACCGAAACAGAAGGCAAAGAAAAAGAAAAAGGGAAAGCTTGACGTTGGAGGGCCTCTCAATGATCTGGAGCATAAAATGATGAAAAAGAAGAAAAAGCTCAAAAAGAAGCTTGCAGTATCTACCACTGTGTCTTCAGAAAGGCATGAAGAAACAAAAGGAGAAAATCTGGCTGATGGCAGCTCCATAAAGAAGAAGAAGAAGAAAAAGAAAGGACTTAACAAAACGCTTGGACAACTTCCAATAGATGAAAATATTTTCAAGGAGTCGGGAACTGACATAAATCAGAACATGGCACAGGGGGAAAAGGCTTTGTGTCTTGTAAATGTTGAACCTTCAGTGAGTAAAGACAGTGCATGTGTACAAGTTTCTCAACAGAAGAAAAAGAAACGGAAAGCGATGATGCTGAATGACCAATCATTGGAAAAAGAGAAGCCTTCCCAACTGAAGACTAAAAACAAAAAGAAGACTAAAAAGTTAAAAAATTCTGGTGCTATTCAAAACCAACCATCGAAAAAAGAGAAGCCTTCGAAATTGATGATTAAAAACAAAAAGAAGGCTAAAAAGTTGAAAAATTCTGGTGCTATTCGAAAATAAAGTTATTCAAAGGTTTATTATTTAAAAGTTTTGTTTCTTTGTTGTTTTGTAGGTTTTTTTCCAATTTGTTCACGTGTTATTAAAAACATGTCCATTATAACATTTTTCTTGAGTATTAACACGTTGCACAATCTCACTCAGCAGAGTATTATATGATTTTCTTAACCCTATCCGTACGCCCTGGGGTCATTTTATACCCCCATGGTTGTATTCGTCACATTTTAGAATATTTCCAGTACGAAGATCTCTTTGAAACTTTCAGTATTTCTCAAAAAATCATTTTGACAGACTGCTAATGCTATGCAAAGCGTACGGATTGGATTAACAAGTAAATTTCCTCTTTGGAAAGTGGTGGCTCAGAGTTCCCCACGTCGTATGGATACGATAGTAAAACACGACATACGGATAGGGTTAAACAAACCTAAATGCAGGTACAGTCGAACCCTGAAACTTCAAATTAATTTATGGATAGCTCGAACAATATGCCATACTCAACTGAACCGAGATAAACCGGTATATGTGAGGTATTGTGGTGGAATCAAGGGCTCGTCCAAATTTATGTAATGAAATCGAAGAAACAGGCACTTTTCCTCCAGTTTGGCAATTTTTATCAAATTTTTGTTTTTGGCTCTACACCTTTTATTTATGTCTTTATAAAAACACATTTCCATGTGAATTTTACTGAAAAACGTTGATTAATGACACAAACTACATGTGTGTAAATTTTCAGTTTTCAAGGACTCTCAAGCTATAATAAGTTACCAAATTTTGGCGGCCGTTTTCTCAATAATTTTACCTCTCAAACCATGCTACCCTCACCTCCTTCAATTTCAATCGTAAATTTGGACTTCTTTAAAGTTAAATGGGTGGGGGGTTTTTTCATAGAAAAAGAAAGCAAGGCAAATGAATAAGCTTTCGGATGATACCAAAAACTCCACGTGCATCACAGTACAGCACTATGACCTCTCTATCCTCGCATCGGAGAAGTGAGAGGCATGGTAGGCCTAGATAATCTAGACCAGGCTGGCCTATCACACAATGTGTTCTGCTTGTCCGTGCATGCCACACTCTCCCCACTCATTCAATCTGGCCTTCATTGTTGGCACTTGTGGGCCCCACTCATTCAATCTGGCCTTCATTGTAATGTTGGCACTCATGGGCTCTCCCATTCTTTGTTTCGCCAGATAACCAACAAGTTTCTCAACTGGCAAGGTTTTACATGAATAAATGGCCTATGCGCAGTGCACAGCAGCAGCTATATTCCGGTATAACCGATTCGCGTGTTTGATTGCGGTATATTATTAGTATTTTATTTACAAAGATCAAAAAAAAAAAAAACGGGGTTTAAGAAAAGTGTCTTTATAACCTGTCCCCGTCGTTTTATGCAAGAAAAATTCTGAAATTATGCAAACTGAGCCCAAAAAATGTGAAATTATGCGATTCTGTTAATTTTAACAAAGAATGATAAAGGAAAATAATCAGAAATTATGCATAAATGATCAAATTTTGCTAAATTATGCGGGGTGCATAAAACCACGGGGACAGTATACAACAGACTTCTCGTTATAATTTATTAATATGTGGATTCCACTGTATTAGAAAGCTAGACTGTTGTCTTTTGCTACATCAACTCGCAGGACTGAGGAAGATCGTTCTGTTTATCGTGGGCATTTCACTGAAATGGTCATTTCAGAAAGAAAGCCACATCAAACATCTCTGAATGAAATTACATAATATAGATTAACTCTTTTTTTCATCAGCACTCTACAAAGGGAATTCAAGTAAGCACAATTGCATTATTTTCACAAACAATCCATGGGTCGAGGCAACTGACCAAGCTTCTACCCCCCATTCAAAATCATCGTTTGGTTCTCTGAAAAGTACAATGCGGCTCAACCAACTCAATTCAATGTACAACATGAAAATGAAATGCACAGACTGACACTAGTGTATTTTCCAATCTTTTTTAATTGCATAAGATATCACCTCCAGATAAGAAACAGTTAAAACAAAGCAAACAATCATGTATACCATTCACTCCTTTAACTCTCATCTAAAGCAGGTGCCTATTTTTACCCATCACTTCGACCATTTTCTCCTCTTTCACTTTCAACAATTCATATTTTCACTTTTTCTCTTTTTTTTCCTATGAACAAAGTGTACGACTTTTCATCTCCTTGTTGGGATCTCAACTTCGCCTTTCATTCATTCCAGCAAAATAACAACACTCACACACATTCATGAATAATTTGATTCAAATAAATAAAGTTTTGGCTGATGTCAAAAGTCCAACCAGTCCTTCATGTAGATACACGTTTTTGGAGATATCAAACCATCCACTGTGCATCGAGATATGACCTGAATGAGATAGAAATAGAGGAATCAAGTCACAACAACAGTCGTACAAAGACAATTCTTCATAACACATTACACCCTAACTCGCCCAGGAACACCCACGAATTCCCTAACTCGCTCGGAACCGCCCGCGCAGACCTAGCGTCTTTAGAAACGAAGTATCGCCTTGACGAGACTCTGGGGCCGAGATTTTGATTTGCATAGTTAGAGCAAAAAGTTTCTTCTTTCATTTGATACCGAAACGAAATTTTCGGGCCAGCAATTTTAGTATTAGAGCTGATCGACGTGCGATCGCGTTACCAACACTTCGAAAGCGTCTTGACTTGTTGAAAAGTGACACAATTGAGTTTGAAAACGGAAATAATGATGGATTTGAGCAAATGACAAATCAGATGGCTCAGATTTTTATGAAAACGTCGTAGCAAGAGTTTGGGGCGATTCAGATTGATCAGACGGAGAAAATCTAGAATTTAGACCTAGGGCCCGATGCGAGGCTGAGAGTGAGAGTGACGAGTCGGACACCCCGACTGAACTAAATTTAGAACATTTCCAACAGTTTGCGCATACATTAAGTTATATTTTTCTGAAACTACGGTACATTCAATTTTCTTTTTAACTTATTTTTTCAGGATTTTTGGAATTTGTTTAGTATTTTTAAAATGTGTTTTTTAAAGGCTTGTATTCACAGGAGGTGGGTTCTTTCCCCTTGCTTAGGATCTAACAATAGACTTCCCGTCCAGACCCTTAGGGTGTAATGTGTTAAAAGAACATAATGATTTCAATATTCACAAAACATAAAAATGAACTCCGATTTAGTAATGAACTTCAGACGCAATTATTATTCATTATAATGTTGGTAAAATAAGTTTAGATGTGTCTTTTGTAACTGCTAAAGGGATGTGCCTGAGCTGCTATCAGCAGCTCACCGGCACAGCTGTTCCGACCGTGAGCGCCTTACCGGAGATAAAGAGTTAATCCATGTAATAGACAACTCCCAACAAATCATGTTTATTATTTCTAGGCAAGAATGAACCAGCATGCCCAACAACACAATATATATTTACAGTAACTGTTTAAAAAATGTGACCCTCATGGTGTTTTCTAATAAGCTACAACATGTATACTCAGGACAGCTTTGTTCAAATTTGGTATGGGATGGTAATGAAAAGAGGAAATATAAAATTAAGTCGATCCAGCCAGTGTAATGTCTAATCAAGAATCTGCGTCACAGTTAAGTGGATAGAATCTAGATATACTGCATGCTAAATGCACATCTCATAGTTCCAATGAACCACAGAAATCTATAAACTATATCTTCCTTTCATAAAAATTTACCATTATTCTCAATCTCATGTCTTTTTTTTTTTCCCGACTACCTCTATTAAACTTTATGATTAAAACACTGTTATACTGTACAAATACAAAACTATCTGGATGAGAAAAATACTGAAGTGGGTAAGAGAAACAAACACTTCAATTCTAGAGATCAATTACAGCAACCAAATAAGGTAACCCAAAAAATTTTTGAGGGGGGATATAATTGGTTATTTTTGTTCCATAAACACATCCATAATACTGTATATTAATTTATAAATCTAGTCTAGCTTACAATTGAGATCAGGGATTGGTGCTGAGACAGCCACTCTCCTGAAACAGTAGGGGACCAAGACTATGTCTAATACCATAGCTTAAAACAGTTGCAGAACCTCAAATTCAATACAGCAATGAAGTGACTCAGACACCAAAATTATGGAATGGAAAGACAATGAACAAAAAACAAACGCAGTAGCTTACAGGACAAACACCACAAGGTGTCCGAACAAAGGCAGATGTGTCTGAAAGTGTTTTCACAGCTCTGTAGATCTTGATGGAAGAGTCTCCAGAAGTCGAGCCAACACTACCAGCTGTCCTGGCAGACAGCTCAATTTTTCCGTCATAAATGAGGGTATCCAAGATGGCCTCCATGTCTTTCAAAGAAAGATTGACCTGTTGAGAAAACAGCAACCTCCACAGAAATTAGATTTAGTATATATATAATATAAACATTATACAGCACAACATTCTACAACACAATCGATGTACATGACACTAAATCTGAGAATCCCCATTCTGAGATAGACTGACCTAGATGTAGAAGCAGAAAAGTGAAAAGAGTGATCTGAAATTGGATTCTGATAGGAACATCTTTGAACCTGGTTTGTTTTGAGATTGTCTTCAACTCTACATCCTCTCCATTTAGACATTAATTCACAGATCTCGCTTCTCTAATGCCAATTGTTGAAAGGAGAGCAAAAATTATCTTGAATGAAAATAAAGAGAAAGACATATTTTCAAACTACAATATAAATAGCACACAAAACCTGAAGTGGGGACCACAGTAGTCTTACACTCTATTGGGATTTCTGAGCTCATAAATGACTGAAAAAACAACAACTATGAAACTCGAAGCTTGCTGCATGATTGGGGGTAGTGAAATCAAAAAGAGTAAATAGGTCTACACAAGGATATAAAACCTGTCTTCAATGAAGGTCTGCCCTGCAAACTTATTGTCAAGTAACAGACTGCAATTTACGTACTGGTAAGAGTAAGAAGTTCTTTCAATTTCAAAAGATGCTTTTCTTTTTATTTTGTTCATTATCACTCAGCCCCATGCATTTCAAGGAGTCAACTTCAGCATACAATATCTTGAGGTAGCTAGACAAGAGCTCTCTCTCTTTCACTCTCTACTAACAACAGGTTAACTGTACTATATGAACAAACAAATGACATATATCACATACATGAAATGAAACATAAGTATGACAAAACTAAGGACATGAAATTTTTTTAATTTCTCATTTTTATTAGTAAATATTAGCAGTGTTAAAAACACTTGTGAACCCACAGCAATAGTTTGTTGTAAAATGTCCGTGTACAGTAGGCCCTACCTTACTGATCCCTAGTACAGTACCTTACTGGTCCCTAGTACAGTACCTTACTGATCCCTAGTACATTACCTTACTGATCCCTAGTACATTACCTTACTGATCCCTAGTATACAGTACCTTACTGATCCCTAGTACAGCACCTTACTGATCCCTAGTACAGCACCTTACTGATCCCTAGTACAGTACCTTACTGATCCCTAGTATACAGTACCTTACTGATCCCTAGTACAGTACCTTACTGATCCCTAGTACAGTACCTTACTGATCCCTAGTACAGTACCTTACTGATCCCTAGTACAGTACCTTACTGATCCTTAGTACAGTACCTTACTGATCCCTAGTACAGTACCTTACTGATCCCTAGTACAGTACCTTACTGATCCCTAGTACAGTACCTTACTGATCCCTAGTACAGTACCTTACTGATCCCTAGTACAGTACCTTACTGATCCCTAAGTTTGTAATGTACTTCAAGACATCTTCTGCTGTGGCATAGGAAGCCTGCAGTCTGGTCCATGGCTCATCCACATACACTTTCTGGGCATCAATAGCCTTCCACGTCAAAGAGAAGAAAATACAAAACACAAAACAACGATAAACTTTTAAAGGTTGACAATACTGTCAAGTCTCAATGCTGCAGACAAGAGGTTCTGGAATCCTTTGCTACAACAGCAAACCTTGCGTTCAACAAAATAATCTATGTTTGGATGCTCAGTTTCGGTGAAGTTGGCAAACGCACAATAATCTATTGGGTCAAAATGACTTTTAGTAGATTTTCCTGTCTTTTTTTTGACTTTCTAAAAGAAATGTATTTCAGTTTTATAAAAACAACTAGTTTTCTTTTCCTCGATGCTATAACTAATGTGTTGAACAGTCCAAGAATACAGGCAGGTTACCCTGACAATTGAACGGAATGGGCCATGCAAGGTAAGCTGTCAACATAAGGCTCCTCTGTCAGTCTCGGTTTATTCTTTCACAATCACATTAAGTAATTCCTGACCATGACCAATCACCTAAGTTAGTGTTGGTGCACACACAACAAAACTGAACACTAACACTGACAGAATGAGCAACAAGTCACAACACCCCCCCCCCTCCCAACCCACATGCACACAATAATTACTTGCTACCTCTACCAATGTGCTTCCCAAGAATCTGTGGCCAGGACTCGCCAAACATTGTTTACTATCACACTAAATAAAAAGGGGGCTTAATAGTTCTATAGGTATAGTTCACCTGTTAACCCAGACAGAGATTCCCACCAGCTTCACAATTTTTCTAGTTTTCTACACCAACTACACCCATTTATCCTAGGGTAGGTAGGATCGAGCATCTAGTCTTCTTGGATAAGGACAAAAAATTTGAAAAGTTGAGTGTGAAAGTTTCGCAAGTTAAAAATCCCTTAGCAGTTATGAAATTATGTGTCATGACGTGGTGAATCAGGCACTCGTCAAATTTTGGGTATTTGGAGTTATTAAAATCTTCTGAAAGCTTATTCATTTGCCTTGCTTTCAGTGAAAAAAATATCCATCTATGTGGAATAGAAGTTGAGATGTTTCCAATTGAAGAAGGTGGGGTAGCCTGGTTTCAGTGGTTAAATTATTGAGAAAATGGCTGCCAAAGTTTGGTAACTTCAATAGCTTAAGAGTTCTTGAAAACTGAAAATTACATATTTTGTGCCTTTAAACAGGGTTTTTCAGTAAAATTTATATATCTATGGAAATGTGTTTTCAGATTAGCATAAAAGGTGTTTAGCCAAAAAACAAATTTCTGTAAAAATTGCTAAACTGTTGGGAAAATGCCTTTTTCTTCCATTTCATTATTTTGACGAGCGCTTGATTTCACCACGCTGCCTCACATATACCTACCCTCTGTTGAAGAAACTTGTGTGCTTGAGCATTCAGAATTTCCACAAACTCTGATTCAAATTCTGAGGCGCTGTACCATGGCCCCCCTGTCACAGACTGGTCAGGCTCGAGGTTGTACAGCATGTAAACCTTACGTTTTGAGGCCTGTGACATGGAGGAAACCTATATGTGATATTCATTAGAGAGATACAAAATGATTATTATATTGTAGCAAAAAAAATACAAAACTGTTTCACATTGCTTCACAAGGTGAGCAAATCAATATATTTGAAATAGCTCATTTCTTGGCTTCTGAATCAAAAATACTATTTCATCTCCCTTTAAGAAATTGCACGCCTCAATTCCGGTTAATGTTCAAAATATTCTAAGACGTCAAGAAATGAGGAAGAGTAAGAGTGCTAAAAAAACCCAAACTTTTGTTGTTTTTTTTTAGTAAGTGTTTTACGACACTTGCAACACAATAAGGTCATACAAGTGCCGAAGATTAGAGGTGTTACAAGGGAGTAACATACACAAAAAAGAAAGAGGGGAGATAAAGAGGATAGATGTTTGACAGGAAAGAAGGAGCAAACCACACCAGAGCACCCGCCAACCACCCACAAATGAGACTTTCATTGCACTTAGCACTACATTGTATTAGAAGTGAGAAGAATTCAAACAAATTAGGACCTTTTAGAAATATACAGATATATCAACAAAGAATTGATAAATAGCTATCAGGTTTTCAGGATAGTGAACTAAGTTGACACACTTCCACATCTGAAGGATAGGAGATATTTTAAGTATTCAGCTTCTTTTTAGAGGACGCAGGGATAAATAAGATGGCAGACCTGTAATTTGCTTTTTGCTTCCAAAGCCAAAGTGGATGCTGTTCATGTAATTAGCTGTTCTGTGTATGTCACATGCAAATTATATGTACATTTCAGTATGTGGATTGAAGTGTCTAGATGTATGCCAATTGCATGTTTTGAAATTACTCATTTTAGTTAGTTTTAGTTTTAGCAGAGGTTTTACAGCGCTCCCAACTGCAAAAGGTAATATGAGCGCCAAGGGGGGGATGTCAACAGAGAAGTCCTTACAGGGAACCAGACTTACTCTGCTCACCTCTCTAGCTTCAATAGCACAAAGTCTGCTTCGACTATCAAGGTACCCCGGAAATAGCGGGTCACAAGAATGTGACAAATATACAAAAGAAGTAGAGGAAAAGACAATAGTAAGGACTATGAAAGAAAAAGCAGCACTTCCCTGTTGCAGGTCAGGCACAATTGTGAGCATAACATTGATGAACCAGCCCATTTACAATTACAATTCTACTGTGCATAAGAACTTGAGATGTTAATGTCCCCCCTTTGGGGATGGCCTAAAGACACTTCAGTCAGTAGCATCTCCCCGGGGGGTGAATTACTTATCTTATTGGTGCTAAAAGATTGAAAGTGATGAAAGTGAATACTATTAAACACTTCTATCTGTCTGAGACCACAATTCTACACTTTCATTACAACCAAGTGGACATAAAATAAATACTATTAGTTATAAAATGATCCTAACAAAAACAATAATTGCTATGAACCTATGGAGTTTTCTATTGAAAAAAAGCTAATTTACACTTCAATGTAGTTTTGTAACAAGCACAAACTGACTCACGCACATTGACAGATTTCACAGCTTTGATAAGCTTTTTGCTCTCTAAGTTCTTTAAAATCTTGTTCAAAACTTGTATGTTCTTCAGGTTGCTCTTCATACGGATTTCTCTTGTCCATATACCTGTTGAGGGATTAATACCACACTTGAGATCAATCAGTGCCAAAACAGAATTATGCATAAAAGTTCAAATGCACTTTGTAAAATAGTATAGTATCAGATTAACTCTGTCTGTTTAGAATAAGTACAGTCAAACCCTGTAATACCACCAACCTTGGGACGAGCATGAAACTGGCAGTACAGCGAGGCTGGCAGAACAACAAGGTTTTCATATCCTCTGTTAAATACATGTAGCACCGACTGCCCAACGTCAGGGGAACTTGTTTACCAAACACTAGATGAATTAATGAGTTATCTCCCTTCGGTCTGTCACTTAGACTTGGTCATGATTCCTCATAAAAGCCCCACGGGCACTGGCCAGCCTGTAAGTTATTTTGCTGATAATATCTGGTGACTTCCAGACGCCGAGATCCCTTTGAAGTTTCTCCAGGCGACTAAAAAATGTAATTACTTTTTTTAAAATATTGAATAAGGCCTAAAGATAATAGCATTTTCATAATCAACGCATCAAATTTAGTAAGATTCATGTGAGGAGTGATATTTTATGATGAATTACAAAGTTACGTCTTATTTTAATAGTACGCTTCTACATTACACATTGTGTTATGTTCGCTTGCCACACAGTAACTACATCACTGTAGATCTATTCATATTGCTTGAAATCTACAAGACTATGGCCGGGAAGGTGGTAGGGGCAGGAAGGGAGAAAATCGGCGAAAAGCATTTGATCTAGACTTAGGCCTACCGTGTAGAGACTTGCGTGTGGAAGATTGTTGAGCAACTACCGAGTGCATGTACTGTGCGCCGTATGTAGCCTAGTGTGTACTGTGTACTTATGGCTGCCAGTTCACTGGCGGTACAACGGGGTAAACTTACAGTAGTTAAATAAGGACTGTGTGACTGAGACAGTTGGTAGATGGTGGTGTAAAGGCGCAAATACTATGTTTGTATAGGGGATTCTTTTCGTACATTGGCAAAACCTGACGGTAAGGCGGGCTGGTGGCACAACGAGGTTTGACTGTATTTTATGTGAGATTTTAATCAGTAATCTTTTACCTAATTAAAGCAGCATAGCTCTTCTAGTAATACACACACAGAGTTCCTATTTTTAAAAACCCAGTTCAACACAAAGTACCAAGTGTTTTTCCCTTGCCAAATATCAAATAGTACATCCTTGGAAATTGACAGACTATTCCTCAAACATGTAAAAACAATTCTAGTCATACTATTTATCATATTCCTTCATCCCCAAATGGCCTAATAATTTATTTCCTTGTAACAGCATTGAAAAAGCCTTCATATGCCCAATAACTTCTGAGTCTAACAGTAGCAGTCGAATGAGAAAAAAATCAAGATTGAGTCAAAAACTAAAAAGAAAAATCCCGAAAGAAATGTATTTTTTTCCCTCTCACCTTTGTTTTGCGCATCTTTGATAATTTGAAAAACGACCTTTTCTTCTGTGTCTGCTCCCTTCACCTCCCTGCATCAGATACGTATTAAAACAATGATATAATATTACTATCAAAATACTGATTCTGTATCTAGCTTAATAATAATTAAACATTATTACAGTTTACAGTATTTGTTAATTTCTATCATGTGTTTGTCAGTGCAGATATATTAGTGAGTACAAGTATATATTATATTATGTATGTGGAAAAGACGATGGTTTGTGAGTGAGAGTGTGTGCGCGCGCGCGCGCGCGTGTGTCCGTGTGTGTGTGCATGCGTCGTGTGTGTGTGTGTGGTAAAACACCAAACTAATGTGCCATCATCTGGACAATGAAGATTTATCCTATCTTATCTTATTATGACAACATTTTTTAAAAATATGTCTGTAAGACTTCAGAGTAATCACAGTAATGTCAATTTCTTAATACTGAACAAGATATGGTTGTATTCTTTCTGAAGTGAGACTCGCAAAAATAAAATTAAAAATCTATAAAGGGGATCTTACCTTTGTCACATCTTCACAATTATAATTTCAATTCAGAAATAAAGTTTAATACTGAGACTTCAAGTTCCACTCAATCTTTAGCATACAGATCAGCATAAACTGCTAAACAATTTCTTAATAAATCAACCTCACAGATTGCAACTAGGATAATTGATTTCCCGATCCGATAAATCTGGAACACAATATGAAAGATGAATTTTGGACAAGCAAAGGGAAAATTATACAGCCACAATTTGTGATCTTGTTATGAACAACAAAATTCTTACTTTGCAGCCTCTGGGTCTTTTAATCTGTACAACAGTTTTGAGCCACTTTTCAGCAATTCCAAGCGATTCTGAAAAGAAATGAAAAACATTTAAAATGTGCCAACATAGCACTTCCATCTAATATTTATAACTCATTGGGGAAAAAGTAAATGATAAGGTAATTTTAAGTTGGTACTTAACTCATTCGCTACGCCGAGCCGTGGGGGGCGGCGCGGCTAAAGTGCCGTCAGTACGCTAAGCCGCCCCCGGCGGCTCGAGAACCGACATTCAATTTTAGCTTGGTTTCTATTCCAATCCACATATCCATATTAAAATAAAGGTCATAATATAAAGTTGACTTCCGGGTCAAGAGTTTCCACCGAAAATCAGAAGTTTTGATTCAGTTTTGAAACACGATTTTGAAGTTTATGCGACATTGTTTTATCATGAAGCCCAAATTATAGCCCAGATACCAGTCTTAGTACTTTTACACAACAAAATGTATCATTATTTTGCTCACTAAAGAAGTGTAGGACTCTTCTTTATAATATTGATACTACTGGACTCAAATTGCCAGTGCACTGTAATTGAGAAATCAATATTTTTGAGTGCTAGATCTAAAGCCTAGTCAAAATATTTTTGTTCTCCCCAAAATCACTACTTTTTGGGGAATTTACTCAAAAAGTACCACCCAAGACATGTATAAGTTTATTCCAAATGCAATTCTGAATAATTCCATATAAGATACGAGTGTTTTTTTTGTGTTTGGGATCCTTTTTTTCAAAATTTTTTTTTTTTTTTAAATTTTTTCAGTATCGGAGGTTATGATCCAAATGTACACATATTATGGAATGTATGTAAATAACTGCTCATTTTTCAATATTTTCCTGTTCTATATACAGTTATGGTTATTTTGATGTATAATTTGACTAGGTGCAAACATATTTTTTGAGCTTCATCTGAGATTATAAATTTTGTTTTCAAATTTTATCCGCAGCCAATCACAATTGTGTTGCATAATCGCCTCTTACAGGAACCAAAGTTGAAAAATACTCATATAAACAATACAGATGTATTCTACAAACCATACTGAAAATGTTGGTATATAATATGTTGATATATATTTGAATTTATGGCCCCCAAGACCTGTGAACTGTGCACTAGTCATCATCTCATTTCGCCCTCCCGAAAAAAATTCGTCCACAAGCCGAAAATAATATGTAGCGAATGAGTTAAAATGTACTAATATGATTAACTGACTAGTGTTAAAGACAATTTTGTAAAAGATAGGAAGAGACGTAATAGTGATAAGTACAATCAAACTTTGAAGGAAACTGACTCCACCAATAAAGAGCAATATCTCTTTATAGCACCAGATCAGTAATACCAGAACCATAAGGGGATAACAATAGAACGTCGATTTGAGGATATAGATTTAAACCCAAAAAAAAGAGATATTAGATTCAAATACCATATACTAGAACAACTGTTTTGTTAATTTATCCAATTGCCTCAATAATGACTACTTTCATTTCCAGTATAATGCTCTTTCTTTTAGATCTACATGTAGTTGCCATTTTGAAACCTGGACTAAAATACTTTTAAATTATGTAATGGTAATACTTCATGCTTAAAAAACATCCCCACTGACTTAAGTAGATCAGTAAGGTGGTGGCTACCAAGACCAAACCTGGCTGAGAGCAGTGCAATGCTCCAGGAGGCAGACAGAGATACTAGATAAAAAGCTCCACAATTGGAAATTGAACTCACAACTACTGGATGCAATGGCAAAGCTGCACCACAGATGCAGGTCTCGATTAGAATAATAACTTATGAATGGGAGACTATTGTAAAGGGAATTTACTCGACAGCAAGCCATCCCAGAGCAAGACTGCCAGGCTACAACTAAAAGTGAGAAGCTGTGTGGCAATAGAGAAGAAAAAAAGTTACAGCAGGTTTGTGCATCTGCACAACAACAAAATGACCAGTGTAGCCTGACTTAATGGTAGAGTCACCATGTTGATCATCTATTCTGCAAGGAACGCTGAGTTGCGATTCTCTAGCTAAAACCATATTTCAAATAACAATTCTTGTCTTCTCACTATTTCATTGATAGAAGTGAATTTAAAAAATACAAAACAGGAATCAACAATTGTCTCACTAATCCTGAGCTCTCATTATCCATTTGTCATTTCACAGTCACAGGGACTGGGCTATACTTTGCACTTTCAAAAAATGTGTTTGTCTTCAACCAAAATGTCCTTGTCTCTGTCTCTACACAAGTTCCAAAAGATGAAAGTTCTTACCGTCGACAAGAGTCTGTTAACAGCAGTAACTCTCTGCTGAATATCACATTGAGGCACTGACTGCTTAATAACCTCATCTGAGATTCCTTTTGGGTTCTGACTGCAGAGTTCAATGATCCTGTAAAGTTAAACAAAAATAATGCATATCATATATACACTAAAAAAATAAATCATTCAGATAAAAAAGATGACTGTGAGTACAACTTATGAAACAAAATTCAACTCAAATTGTAATCTAAGGGTCATTGTAACAACAAAGTGCAGTTCTAAATAATCATAACCTTTGAACAATCATACTCCATTAAAAACACTTTATGTGATACTATAAATAAAATCTTAATTACTGCTAAGTGAGGAACTTTGAGAAATAAAATACACAAAATATAATGATAGAAGCCATTTTCATTTTTGAAGACATTATTGTTTGGATCAGAAGGACAGACAATTGGCTTACTCCTTTATTTTACTATTCTGTACAACCTTGATTTACCTTAAAAAACCTTATATATAATAAACAAAGAAAAATAGATCTAATGTAGTCATACCATCCACAGCCGCTAAAAAGAATATGGCTGATTTTTATATCTTTCAGTTTTCACAAACTTTGTCTCCATAAAAATACCACATATTCACTTCCCATGAGTAAAAAAATTGAGTTTTGCTACTTTCCTTCAAGTCCACAACCAATCAGCTTTCAACCTTCAGCTGTGTTGAAAAAAACTCAAACATTACAAAACTTTGAAAGTTTTCAACAAATCTTAGCTTAAAAAGTTGGCCTACTTTGGTCTATTTTTTAACATACTAGGCAGAAACTAGTTGAATTTACTCCACTAGTTTTACAGAAATGAGATAACTTCGGTTTTAAAAGAATCAGCGCAGCCCTGTGATCACCCCCTCTACGACTTAAGTAACAAAGCGGTAAAGCCAAAAACTGACAATGGATTCTTGTGACCTATTTACATTAGGTAGCCAATCACATATACCACCTCGCGATCACGCGCCTTTTGCATGCCCAGTTTCTAACTCTAGTCTTTTAATTGCTGGATGGGTGGTAATTTTAAGTAAGTACTTAAAATGTACTCAACACAGTAATTTCTAAAATTTTACAACAATAAAGAAGACATGTGGAGCGCTAGCTTGGTCAACGATGACATAGCAGCCCATCCTTAGTTTTTTTAAAACTGAAGACAATCCCACAGACACAGCCAATTTCTCCGCTTCAGGAAATCTGTCGGCATTGTATGCTTAAATTCATGTAGTAAGTTTGGACTTTCTTCTGATTGGTTGCAAAGTTTCACTTATTTTCGCCAACTGATATTCGCATATCTATACAAAAGGGTTACCTCTGATTCCGAACGGCCCAAAAATTATGCCCCGGCCCAGCCCGATTTTCAGGCCAAGCGTAGCAAACTTCTAGGCATCTTAGGTACACAGTTTACATTATAATACACACTGGGTCACTGTGAGTACAGAGGTTTACTTTTGGTTGCAAGTGGGTATATTATGTTAATAGTGTATCATCTTGCAAAACATGATAATGGCTCTATGTCAATAGTTTGAATAATAGTTATATCATTATCAACATGTGAATAGTTCAGAATAGGGTAGATCTAGGCTATTTCATTGGAAATTTCTCCTGAGGTACAAGAAATAATACATTAATATGATAGCGCTTGTGGCCTTACACACACACACACACACACACACACACACACACACACACACACACCAAACTAACAATCAAACAAAGACAGTCGCAGCTCTTTTCTTCTTGTTGTTGTTGCCCCTAGTGTGCAACAAAGTGATGCTGTGACAATTAATGCGGCGTTAATTGCGACAGAGTGAGTCTGTGACTGTGACAAAAAAAAAGAATTTAGAAAGAAAAAAGAAAAATAAATACACACACACACACACACACACGCACTCACACACAAAAATACACATACACACTTCACTAGATCTAGACATTCTAGATCAAGATCTGATCATCAAGGCAAAAGAAGAGCTCCGTGTTCACTCTGTCACAATTAATGCCACGAGAGTTGTCACAGCGTCACTCTGTCGCAATTAACGCTAGATCTACATAGTAAAGTCAAAATTTAATCATGTGACCCACATCACACACAGTCATAAAACATCATCATCATGCAACTGTAACTAGATTGAGG